AGAGAGAGAGAGAGAGAGAGAGAGAGAGAGAGAGAGAGAGAGAGAGAGAGAGAGAGAGAGAGCTTTCATGTAGCCGAGAGAGAGAGAGAGAGAGAGAGAGAGAGAGAGAGAGAGAGAGATTTCATATAGCAACAATGTAATTTGGATCTGTGAGCTTCACAAACCTGGCTCACTGATACATGTACAAAGTAAAATCAAAATCAAAGTGCCAACAAATGTTATTGCTTGCAAAGTTGGTTTTACTGGGAAGCAGCTGAAAGTGGGTTTTGCATCAACGACAGAAGCTGATCGACTTTCGTTGCCAAACTCCTTTTCCCCACCGGTTTACAAAGTTCTCTTTTTTTTTGTGGACACATTCAATCGACATTTGACGCCAGTGCATTGGCCAGGTGTACCAAGTTCACCTCTCCCATGAAGACGGTGAGATGGTGGGATATGCCACAACAGCCCAACCGAGGTTCCGTCTCCCATCCCTCGCGGCGGGCGACATGTGCATTTCTGGATTTTCAACGGCATTGTACTCTTATTATCACACTATTGTTCAAGACTGCATTCTCTCTCTTTTTTTTTCCTGGAGACAGCGTTCTTTCTGATCAGCGAGTAAAATCAACACAACCCCAATACTCAATGTCCCAGGCTCAGCTGTGTGGACAAGCTCCACCAAGATAGATAATGGCCACGGCGTACTCAGACTAGGACTGTTCCGTCTGCATCAGGGCATTGACTTGGTCAGACAGATCTTCTAATCCCAGAGAGCAGACTCAACTTTCTCAATATATGTGTGGCATCCTTGCGCAGGGGTCATGATGCACCCAGGTCTCTTGCTAGGAGGGGATTCTCTTACCACCTCTCCTAGCAAGGACACTGGGTTAAATAAAAAAAAAAAAAATTAAAAAAAAAAATCCCCGTATTGTGCCAATTTTAGCGAAAGTCGGGAATGCCACAGACTCGACTCTCCTATCTATCAGCCATGAGGTTTAACAACGCCATGACTCGCAAACGGCAAGCGACATGTTTCACATCGATTCTCCTTGGCCAAGCATTAGTTTCCTTTCATTCTACCAATTCAAACCAACCAATGCAATCTGGTGAGCCTCCTCAGCTAGAGAAAAAGGTGGGGCAACTAGACGCATTGTTCTTTTCGTCTTCGTCACGCTTTGTAAATCGGTGAAGCGGCGCCTTTTGTCCACCCCACTCTCCCTTCGTCAGTTTCGTCCTCTGCCAAACTGAAAAAATGGAATCTAGCAGGAGGAGACATGGCCCCTCTGGAGAGTAAGGGGATAGAGCAACCAAATATCCGGTGTGTGTAGTCAAGGGCAGATCCTCCTCCTCTCATCCTTCCTCCAATCATTCTCTACCCGCAGTACTAATGACCGTCGTCGCCAGACAAGGGTCAAAAGACCCTTCTTTTTTTTTTCTTTTTTTTTTTCTTTTTTTTTTCAATTTACAGAAAATCAACCCAAGGTAATGCTAGGGCTGCTAGTAAGAAGAGCAGGCACCACTAGCACTCTTGGGGTGGCTCAATCTGTTGGTGGGGACCACCACCTGCCAGTAACCAGGCCCCGCTTGTCCTTTCGTACAATACAAAATGAGTTGCATGATTGCCTTTGTTGTCCACTGTACTGCATGTCTGACGAGGCTGTGTATGCAGATCCCATGGGCAGAGAGCAAGCCCCCTCCCACAAAAGAAAAGACCCTTTTTGATAACCCAAGCGCTACACATTCTCCTTTCGAGCAAAATATAGAAAGGCCAGCGGGGAAAAAAAAAAAAAAAAAAAAAAAAGGCCAGCTGCTCACTACCTTCTTCACTCGAACATAACGTATGGTCATTGTAACTGTATCCGGGGAATCTTTCAGTCTATAACTACGGCAATAATGGCCATGCATCACATTCAGGTGAAGACCGCAATCCCACAGATTCTGAAAAATGAATTACTCCTCTCTATCTAATCATCAGAAGAAAGAATGAATGATGAGTGAATGGTAAATATATGGTATCCACTTGTGTTGCACATGCCCATGGCATACTCACAATTGGTCTCACTCCTCTATGTACCTCCTATCCCTAATTATCGTCTGATTCAATTGAGAAAAAGTCATGGTTCAAGTAGGCTGTTGGACATTCCGGACTACCGTCTTCCCCCGAACACAATGCACCCTCATTTTGGCTGTATAGAGCCCAAATCATACCT